GATGACCAAGCCAATGATACTTAGCTGGTCTTTTCGGATGATCAGCCACATGGAGGGATCCCTTCCCGGGTTGGATGGAAGGAAACAGGTAAATGCTAAACCCAAATCTGAGATTGCGGAAGCTTTTTTTTATTCTTTTAGTTACTGATTTTTTTTGTTGGATTTCACTCCACCCGTTGTTGAGATTGAAGGACTACTCAACTTTGACCCTCCCACTAGCAGGCCGGCCCAATAATGCGCATATTGAACATTTTTGCAAAAACATGTCAAGTTTTTTTTAATACAAATTGAACATTTTTTGTATACACACTGAATATATTTTAGATACGTGATGAACGAGTTTTAAATGCATGTCGAACATTTATTTGAATGCATTTTGACCATTTCTCAAAAGGTACCTTAAACAATTTGTATATACAGGTCAAACATTTTTCAGATACACGTTGAATATTTTCCAAATACATGTTGAACTTTTTTTCGAATATACATTGAACATTTGCCAATTGCATATTGAAAATTTTAAAATACACAGTGAACATTTTTTCAACACAAATTGAATAATTTCATAAATTCCATGAATATTTTTCTTAGATGTGCGAATTATTTTTAAAGGGTAAATTTTTTTATAACGTTATTAAATTTTCTTTTAAATGCTACCCGACTTTACAAAGTTATGCAAAAAAAATTTACATACTGCAATTTTCCTAAATGTGAGAAACATATTTTTGAAATGCATAAAAATGTGATGAACAGCTTTTCAAATGATATGAACACTTATTACAAGTTGCACAAACAATTTTTTCACTAATGAACATTTTTAATGTGAGTGAACTTTTCCAAAAATTAAGTAAAGTAATTTACAAAATATGTGTGTACTCCCTCTATAAAGAAATATAAGAGCTTTGATCACTAGAGTAGTAATCTAAACACTCTTATATTTACTTACGGAGGGAGTAGAATATTTCGAAATATAAAGAAAAACTAACGGAAACAAAAAACAAACGAGCGAAGCAAATCTATTGCTCTCTACTCGCCCAACCCGCTACAATCTCCTCTGGGCAATTGGTTCTGCCATCTCGCTAGGGGCAAGATAAAGACGCGCCCGCCAGACAACAGGCCACACAGTACTGGTCACACTCTGGAGGAGGGCTACTACGTACGGAATCTCTCCACTCCATTTGTGGACTGAGAAACTACGAGCACGATTGATTTGCATTTGCTACCATTATTTGGCTAATAAAATATTGACAATATTAAGTCTTGTCCAATATTGTCAATTTCATGTGAGATTAGCAATATCGGCATGTCACCTTTTTCCACCAAAGCAATTATGAAAATACCTTGTAGTAGTCAATATTTGTCACAACACCAAACATTGGCATGTCACTTTTTGCCGCAAAGCAATTATGCACATACCATGTAATCTAAGTAACAAAATACAACATAGAGTGTTTCACGATTCTTATTGTTGGACGGGAGCAAAGGTATGACGATAGTAGTTCCAAAAAATGACAGTGTGTATCTTCGATATGAGAAATGTAATTCTACCATTTACATTTCTTTTTGCAGAAACAAGGATTTAAATACTGCAACTTCAGACGAATCGCCATGTTCGTGCACGCGCCAAGCTCCTGGCTCTATCATGCATGTGCCGCTCTTGCCACTGGAGAGGCGATTCAGATGATACATAGCAGAAGCTGCTCCGACATTTTTCGCTAACTCGATCGGACGGATGCCACTGCACTGAAGCGAACTGCCAATGAGCACAAGAACAAACCACGTAGTAGTAGTAGTATTTTGGTGGAACTAGTAAAAATCATTTGTCGATGGTGGTGTTTCTTTGGCAAATTAATTAGTCAGATTTTCTCTAGGGTACCCGGCGAAAATCCTGTTTAAGCCCACTTATTTGTCTAACAGTTTAATACAGCTTTTTAGATAAACGAATTATCAAGCTAACTAGAGTTAACTAAACGGGCCTTGCGGCGCCTTTTATGATAGGATCAAGGTAGGGGAATCGATCTATTATGCTCTCTGAAGTAGTAGCAATTACAAGAGCGGAGCTCGAATGGAGGAACTAGGGTTCAAAAGGGGAAATGGAGCCACCGCCAGGTCGTTCCTGATCCACTGGATGCCGTTTCCCTCGTCGCCGTCAGGTTAAGTAGAGCGTGGCTTGGCCGTGGCCCACTCTGGGCCCGTGTACTTGGTATTGGGCTTCCTGGTGCGGCTGGGCCGCGCCTCTTTCTGGTGTGGCCTGCTGGCCTGTGGGTCCGCGCCGTCAGGGTCGCTAACATCCCCTCCTCCTTGAGTGGCGGCTTGTCCCCAAGCCGCTGCGTGGGGAAAGCGAGCCTGTAGAGCTTGCCGATCCTCCCATGTGTCATCCAAATTGGAGGCGCCAGTCCATCGGACCTTGACTTACTCGATCATGTCTCCATTCTTGCGTCCCCATTTAGACTGTAGGATCTCACCAGGAACAACCAAAGCATTAGTGTTGTAAGGAAGTTCGGACTGAACTGTCGTATCAGGTGACAAAGCTCGGCGCAACTGGGACACGTGGAATACTGGGTGCACCGTGGCATGCGGTGGCAGCTATAGTTTGTAGGCCACCGCGTTGATCTTCTGGATGATGGCGAACGATCAGTAGAATTTGAAGGAGAGCTTGTGGTTTGCCCGAGGAGCAACTGATGTCTGAATGTAAGGCTGAAGTTTCAGATAAACCTGATCGCCCACCTCAAATTCGCGGAAAGAGCGCTTCTGATCAGCATGTGTCTTCATGTAGTTCTTGGCTCGATGCAGGTGTTGTTGTATCAGGTCTTGCATGACTACGCGCTCTTCCAACCAAGCAGACAGGGACGGGACTGAGCATGATGTGGGCGCCGAGATGCCCCAGAACTTGGGCTCGTGGCCAAACATGGCTTTGAAAGGTGACATGCCGATGGCCGAGTGATGTGAAGAATTGTACCAAAACTGAGCCGTTGGTATCCAATAACTCCAGCGCCTCGGACACGCATGTGTGAAGCAGCGCAAGAAGGTTTCAACGCACTGATTCACGCGCTTTGTTTGGCCATCTGTTTGAGGGTGGTTTGCTGTGCTCAGTCAAAGTTCAGTGCCTGCATACTTGAACAGTTCCTGCCAAAAGTGGCTAGTGAAAACCGGGTCCCGGTCCGAGACAATTGCCCCAGGTAATCCATGTATCTTGTAGATGTGAGTCATGTAGAGCTAGGACACTTTGGATGCTGTATATGGATGAGCTAGGGGCAAGAAATGAGCATATCTCGTTCGTTTGTCCACAATGACCCAAAGACAGTTGTTCTTCCCAGATTGTGGCAATCCATCCACAAAGTCCATAGTGATAAGATCCCAAGGTTGTTTCGGAATTCGCAGAGGCTGCAACAGACCTGGAGACGCTACTCTGTCTGGTTTTGCTTGTTGGCAGACAGGGAAGCATTGCACATACTGTTGCACGTGAGCTTTCATTTTTGGCCAGGCGAACAGGCGTCGAATCTTGCGATATGTAACTGGGTAACCCGAGTGTTCCCCCAGTGAACTATCATGAAAGGCGCCGATGATCTGTTGCTGCATTGCTGTCGATCCACCCAGCCATATGCGCCCGTGGAAACGAAGAATGCCTTATTGCAGTGCGAATCTTCCTTTTGGGTCCGGCCGTACTGCGAGCTGCTCGAGCAAACGTTGGGCTTGGGGGTTGGTGTTATAACTGTTGCTGATGTCTTCCAACCAGGCAGGTTGACAGATTGTCACTCAGATAGTGTCTCAGGAGGGTTGGCACGAGACAGAGCATCGGCGACCGTGTTTTCCGAGCCTTTTTGTATCTGATTTTGTACTAAAGGCCCAAGAGTTTAGTGAAAGCTTTTTGTTGCCAAGGGGTAGTAAGTCTTTGCTGCTCTAGATGAACTAGACTCTTCTGGTCTGTATATATCACAAACTCTGCATGTTGTAGGTACAGTCTCCACTGATCCACTGCCACAATGACTGCCAAGAACTCCTTTTCATAAGTTGACAGCCCTTGATAACGTGGTGACAAGGCCTTGCTCATGAAAGCGATGGGGTGCCCTTTCTGTTGCAAAACAGCTCCAATTCCTTTGTCACTAGCATCGGTTTCCACAACGAACTGCTCCTGAAAGTTGGGTAAGGCCAGAACCGGAGCTGAGATTAGCTGTTGCTTGAGTAACTGAAAGGCTGTGTCAGTGTTGCTGGTCCAGACAAAGGGGACCCCCTTTTTTAATAGGTTGAACAGGGGTCGTGCGATGACACCAAAGTTTCTCACGAAGCGTCTGTAATAGCCAGCCGGGCCCGAGAAATTGCGTACTCCCTTTGTGTCCGTTGGAGTCGCCCATGTGCTGACGCTTGAATCTTACTGGGTTCTATGGCCACGCCTTTTTCACTGATGACATGGCCTAGATAGGACAGCTGTTTTTGGCCGAATTCGCACTTGGAGAGCTTAACTTTCCATTGATCTCGCTGCAGCAGTTGAAACACTTGGTGCAGATGATTGACGTGATCTTGAAGAGTTTTACTGAAGACGAGGATGTCGTCGAAGAAGAGTAGCACACAGTCGCGGAGCAGGGGTCGGAGTGTGGTGTGGAGGCCTCCGTTGAAAGTGGTAGGGCCCGCAGCCAACCCAAAGGAGACCACCTTGAATTCATAGTGACCTGAATGGGTTTGGAAGGCCGTCTTGTACTCCTCGCCTGGCGCCAGCCGGATTTGATGATATCCTGACCGCAAATCCAGTTTTGAGAACCACACTGCCCGTGTAACTCATCCAATAGTTCTTCAATTACGGGCACTGGAAACTTAGCCACTGTTGTGATTGCATTTAAATGTCTGTAGTCGACGCACATCCTCCACGTGCCATCCTTCTTTTTTACCAAAATTACTAGAGAGGAAAATGGGCTGAAGCTTTTCTGTATGATTCCTTGACGCAGCAATTCTGCAACCTGCGCGTCGATCTCGTCTTTATGGTCAGGCTTATGGCGGTAGGGCCGTATGTTGACAGGTTGAGCGCCTGGGATTAGTGGTATCTTGTGGTCACAGTCACGCCGCGGTGGCAGTCCCACTGGTTCACCAAATATTGCAGAGAAATCATCGACTACTTGCTGTATAATGGCTGGTACTGCATCTGGGTTGTTCTCCTCCGCTGAGGGTGCACACACATACACCATATGTGCTATGGCCCCTGTTCTGCACAGATTCTGTAATTGCAACGCGTTGATCACAGAGCACTCTGAAGATTGAGCTTCATGACCTTGCAGACGAGTGACACCATCAGGGGTTTTGATCTCAATGAGCTTGGCATGCCAGTCCACTTTCATAGGGCTGTTTGCTTCCAGCCAATCCATCCCCAAGATGGCATCGTAAGTGCCAAGCGCCAGAATCTTCATATCTGTGACGAATTCACTGCCTTGAGTGTACCAGGCGCAGGCTGGCAGTTCAGAGACGCATGCCAGCTCGCCCCCATCTGCAACACGAACTTTGCAAGCGCGTGGTAGAGGTCGCGCTCCTGACAGCTTCGCGGCGAGTGTGTGGTTAACGAAAGAGGTGGAGCTACCAGAATCCACCAGCATGAGCACTTCCTGACCCTGAATCCATGCTCGAAGCTGAAATGCCTTTGCGGAGACACCGCCGGAAAGGGCCTGGTGAGAGATCGCCATAACTGTCTCAGTTGTTGGTGCCGCCGAAGAGGAATCGGTGCTGTCGTCGATGCCGAAGAGTTCCAGGAGTTCCTCCACAACGTGGAGCTGCACGGATGTGGGGCACACGTGATCGTGTCTCCAACGCTCGCCGCACTTGAAACATAGCCCGCGCGCTCGTTGGTAGTCGCGCAGGGTCTTGAGTTTCGCCCTATCGGCGCGTGCCGATTTGGTCCCCCGTCGATCCGCTGCGGGAGCAGCAGTTACAGGGCGTGTTGGAGGTGTTGGTGGCGGCGGGAGGGGCAGGGCCGTGCGCACTCCCGGCTCTGGTGGTCGCGGAAGAGACCCGAACGTGCCTTCTGCTACTTCCTCTTGCAGCAACGCGAACGCGCACGCCGTGTCCATATCAGGTGGCCGCTAGACCAGCACGACAGCGCGAATATCCTTCCGCAAGCCCTCGACAAAATGGGTGAGAAAATAGAATGGGTGAATCGAATCCGAATATGAGCTCAAATGGTTAATAATCAGTTCAAATTGTTCAATGTAATTCGCAACAGTGGTGGTTTGGCGAACAGTATAAAACTGTCGGATCAACATCTGATGTCGATCTTGCCCGAAGCGTGTGCACAAAAGAGATGTGAAGGACTCCCAATCTAGCTCATCGAGCCGTTTTTGAATGGACTGAAGCCAAATCGAAGCCGACCCGGAAAAATTGAGGGCTGCCATAGGCACCCAGAACGAAGGCAGAATTCCAAACATCTGAAAGTATAGTTCACACAATGTTTTCCAGAGGTTTGGGTTTCCGCCTGTAAATTGAGGAAAAGTGATCGATGGGTGCGCCTGACCCAGGCCAGAGAGCAGCTGACTTGCATGAGCAAAAGGCGACAGAGCCACAGACGAAGGGATCAAGGAGTCGTACTGACCAGATGCCGGGGGCGGTGGCTGCGCCGGAATTGGCACCGCCGAGGACCCCCGAGGATTGATGGTGACGCCGTGGCCATGGGGCCCCTGGGTGTTGCCGGCCGTGCCTGCCGAGGTGCCGATGTGGTCGCCCGGCGGCTGCGGTTGCTGGTCCTCTGGCTCCGTCAGAGGTGGTTGCGGCGCCGCTTGAAGAGCAGCCACGACATCGCTGAGATCTGCGACGCGTCGCTCGAGATCGGGGCGCCAGCTGAGCAGATCATCGATCTTTGTCGCCGTGTTGTGCTGCGCCTTGGTGAGGCCGTCGATCGCGGCCTCGATCTTGGTCTCGAAGCGGGTGAGGAAGGCAGAGACGCTGGGATCCAGGGCTTCACGGGCTTGGCGGAGACCACGCGTCTCGATGAGATGCGCCAGGGCGGAGCGGGGAGGGTGGTGGTTGGTGGCTCTGATACCAGATGATAGGATCAAGGTAGGGGAATCGATCTATTATGCTCTCTGAAGTAGTAGCAATGACAGGCGATTACAGGAGCGGAGCTCGAATGGAGGAACTAAGGTTCGAAAAGGGAAATGGAGCCGCCGCCAGGTCGTTCCTGATCCACTGGATGCTGTTTCCCTCGTCGTCGTCAGGTTAAGTAGAGCGTGGCTTGGCCGTGGCCCACTCTGGGCCCGTGTACTTGGTGTTGGGCTTCCTGGCGCGGCTGGGCCGCGCCTCTTTCTGGTGTGGCCTGCTGGCCTGTGGGTCCGCGCCGTCAGGGTCGCTAACATTTTACATCCCCACCCCTCATTCTGGTCTTCGGCAACAAGATTATTACATTCAGGTTGCACTTACTCTGGATCTAAGATCCAGCTCATCGGTGTTGGCAGCCGAAGGATGGTTTTTCTTTTCTGAACCTGTCCTTTCTGATCGGAAGATAGCCTGAGGAATTAATGCGTTGTAAGTCCACAAAACAATTACCTCCTAAGCTCCCGGTCCAGTCCAAAAAACCGGTGTTGAGAAGCCTCGGGAACCTAATCAATTGTTTTGGTGTTTTAAGTATGGTTTTTACCTGTTTCCTTCCGGATTTCTTATTTCCTTTTCGTTTCTTCCAACTGTAAACTTGTGATTTTTTACAAATAACGGAATAATTCCAAAATTCATGAATATATTTTAAAATGAAAATATTTGAAAAAATGCAGGAATATATACACAAATTACTGATAAAAATAATCTTCGAAATGATTTCAAGATTGGAAAACATTCTTCACATACATGAACATTTTATGACCCTTTTTGTATGTCAGGAGCAATTCTGAAATCCACAAACATAGATTCTGAATAATTTTTGAAATTCGACATTTAAAAAAGTTATATAATATTTTTTTTAAATTCATGATTTTATTAAAATTCTTGAACGTTTTTAGATATCCAAGCATTTTTTAAAATCTTGAACAGTTTTCAAATGGTTGAAAAATTGCAATTTTCACAACATTTTTAGACTTTCAGTGAAAATCGAAGATAAAATGTTAAAAAGAGAGGAAAAAACAGAAATTATAATGGCGCCCTGTGCCCCAAACATGGGAAGCCCAAACCGCCCGGTGGGGTGCACGGATTTCTTGGCACTTCAGAACAATGGGCCTAGGTTTCCCAGAAAAAAACACGGTGAATAGGTGTGCCATTTCTTATTTGCCACTCGTTGTATCAAACTGTGGACCAATTTTCACAGAGCCGAGTGGATGAGGCCCACCCATTTAGTAGATTATGTTCCCCAAATTTCCTACTTCTTGAACCTACTAGAAGGTTCTCGTCCTTAAAAAAATCGAAAAATAAAATAAATGTAAGAATTTTAAATATTCAGAATTTACTAAAAATGTTCTCAACTTCCGTGAAACTACTTCAAAATTATCAAAAATTTGCATATATTTCAAATAATATTCCAGATGTTTTTAAAGTAATCTATTTAAAAATACAATATTTCTCATGTTTTTTTTGGAAATTGCCTATTCTAAGAGAGGAGAAAATGTCATTATGTAGGGTGATTTACGTCACCCCTAGCATGTTCCCTGTCTTTATCTATTTTCTTTTACAAAACTTTTCTTTCTCTCATTTCAAGCGAATACGCTTTCATTCCTTATTGGGATAAAGAACTATTGTTATGATATGAACTTTGTGATCAATCGTTTGCTATGTCTGTATATGAGCATTTTTTTCAATCCACGGACGTAAATTTTGATTATTTATTTTTTGAAATTTGAGAATATTTTGTAAAATTAATCAACATAATTATAAGTTCATAAAGTTTTTGAAAAAATCGTGAACCTTTTATATTTTTTAATTTGGAACATTTTGCAAATTAACAAACATTTTTCAAAATCGCAAAAAAATCAAAAAAATTGTGAGACCTTTTCAAATTTCATTATAAATGAGTGGTTAAAAAAAGGAAAAGATAAAAGATTTACTAAAAAGGTGGACAATTGGTTGTTTGGCACTGCACAACATGGGTGACTAGGA